GGCTAGTGTGATAATCACGATCTGCTAAGCTAGGCAGTTCGAAAAAACAGAGGTTCGAATTCCTAACTTAAAACCCGAGAAAAACCTGTTTTACGACCACCACCATTTAAATCAAGTGAAAATTAACTAGTTACTCTAATTTTGATTAAATGATGACAAGTCCACCTTAATCGATCTTTAGCTAGGAAGAAGTCGACTAGAATCATTTTTTTTTGGCGTGTGTGAGAAATTTCCCTTGCAAAACAGAAATAAAGTTTGGGCCCGGCGGCCCGGAAGAATTTGAAGCCCGCCCGGCTCACCGGTCTTCCTTGAGGAGGCTCGCCCGGCCCGGAATAAAGACCTTCTCGGGCCGGGCTGGGTCGTGCTGGGCCGGGTCTGGGCCGGGCCGAACCGGACCGGGTCACCGGTCCGGGTGGCCCGTTTCGAGCCCTGCCTGGTAGACCCTAGACTCTGGTAGACCCTGGTAGACCCTGGTAGACCCTGGTAGACCCTGGTAGACCCTGGTAGACCCTAGACCCTGGTAGACCCTAGTAGACCCTGGTAGAAACTAATAGAAAGTGAATTATTGTGTAATTCAGTGTTTTTGAATTATTTTGTAATTCATTTATGTCATGGTCTCGATGATTTCTCTCCGAATACCACGGATACTCTCCTTTGTTTTAACCAAGATATTATCATTTTTGAACATGCTAAGCGGTAGACCTAATCTCCATAGTTTAGTCAAAAGAGCTGCGTGCCATATAAGATCATAGGCCTTCTGATAATCCACATAAACAGCTAAAGTCGGCATGTTCCCTGTCATACAGCTTTGTAGGTCTTGATAAATTGACAAAACTCTTGTGGGTAGTAAACATCGTGAGCGAAATCCTAATTGTTCTACTGGCACTATATGATTTGTCTCCGCCAAGTATCTAACTCTATTAAGTATTAGCTTTTCGAAAAGTTTTGAATGTGTTGCTAGTAAGGAAATTGGTCGGGTTTCATCGCATTTTGAAACATCTGCTTTTAATTTATTTAGAGTGACTATTTTTGCTAATTTCCATTCGTCTGGATATTTGCATTCGTTTAGCCACTGGTTAAAACAGTTAACAAGGCATTCCATATAGCTGGGAGGAAGTCACTTAATCATGTAATTCGAAACCTGATCAAAACCTGCTGATCTTTTTTGGTTTAAGAGAGCGAATCAATCGCCTAATCTCTTCACTGCTTGTTTTCTCCATTTTTTCGCTAGAATTTGATAGTATTCTTGATATTTCATTGTATTCATTGTCAATTTTCACGTCATTTGCATCTGAATAATCGATCAAGGGTATCTTGAACTGTTCGCTATAATGCTTATATAACTCTTTTGTAATTTCGTCGTGATCAGATAGTACTTTCTTGCCACCCAGTAATCTATAAAATGGTAGTGCGCACGCTTTATAAATACGAGACAAATAAGTCCAAAACATTTTATCCTTCTTATCGTGTGTCTGTTGAATTGTTACTAAAAAATCTGGCCATTTAGTCGCTTTATATTTTCCTATCTCATTTTTTATTTCTCTTGACATGACCCGTAGAAGTACTCTTGTTTCTTCACATAAAATGTCTCTTTGACGTAAATGATAATATTTATTCCTTATTTTTCTTACTTCCTTTAATTTGTCGATTATACAGTGCACGTCAAAAGTCTCGCACCACTTTTTTCTTTTCAGCCGTGTATTAAAATTATCCAATATAATTAAATTTTTTTTTTATATCACTAGAAAGTAGTGATCGAATACTATATGTATACATCTGTTTAAAAAATAAAACTCTTGAATATAAAATCAAATAAAACAAACTTTTCTACGACAAAAAAAAATGGGATGAAAAACTACAAAATCAGGTTGTTTTACAATTTTTAGTCGTTCAAGCGCACAAATTAAGCTGATCATTAGATCTTATCAACCATTCAGCACTTGTTTCCATGGAAACACCCTAATTATAATTACAGCACCACCTATCATTAATAATCACTTAAGTTCACAATATGTTTGATTACCATTCGATAGTAAATAACAGTCTATATTTTGTTTGTTCTCTTCGTATATGATTTGAGAAAAAAGCCATTGAACTCGATCGAATTTGTTTTCTTTTTGATTAACTTGTTGATGAATATTCCAATATAAATAATTTATCTCGATATTATGATGCTTCATTCAAGCAGCGTGTTATTGAATATTATTTACAAAATCAACCAAACGTTAGTTTCCGTTCTGTAGCCAAATTTTTTCATATTCATGGTGGTCATGCAACAGTAAAGCGGTGGTTTGATAAATATGATGGAACAATTTTATAATTACAACAACAGAAGCGTTCGGGAAGATCGCCAATATTGAATCAAGAACAAATTGATCAATTTATTACACGAGTTGTTCGTTCTCATAATCGTATGTCATTTTCCATTAATTATAGTAAAATCACAAATTTGATTCGTCAAAAGAAAAAATCGAATATTTCTATTCGAACAGTTCAACGTTATAGGAAGAAGAATGGTATCAAACCAAAGAAAACGATCAAGCGTACTGCTAAAGAAAGTTAGTATAGATAAACATACATGTTAAACCTCACTCACCATCCCTTACTATTTTATTACTTGTTTTTGCTTATAGTAAGCGATGCTTCTTGTGAAAGCATAGCAAAATTACGTCGTAAACGTCAACGAATATCAAATAAAAAAATAATCTTTCTTGATGAAACTCATATTAAAATAAATGAAGTACCAAGAACAACACTCGTTGCAACAGGTGAAAAACCATATGTAATTGTTACCGATTCATCATCATATGCTGCTCGTTATGATATGATTGCCGCTGTAGTTGATGATCAAGTGTTTCCATCAATTATTTATTCACCAGCAGATAGAAAGACAAAAAATGTCAAAGGCATCAACAACAATATGTTGATTGATTTCATCGAAAAAATCTTATGCCCTTCAAGCAGTACACTTGATCATTGTCCTATATATTTTGTATTAGATAAATTACATATTCATAACATCTCTAAAATTAAAGAAGCACTTGATAATTTCGAATGCACGAAATCAGTAGAAATATTGTTTATATCTACTCAAGCAGCAAAACGTATCAATCCACTGGACGATGCCTTGTTTCATGAATGGAAAGAACGAGGGAGACAACATTCCTTATTTACTGAAGAAACTTTGGCGACAACTATGACGAATGAGTGGTTTAATACAAGAAAAGACAACATTAAACATTATTATGATCATTGTGGTATTACATATGGCCAAGATGTATATAAAGATTGTCCATTTCCATTAAATCATCATCATCATTCTTCATAAACTAATAAAAACAAACCTGATTTTTGTAGTTTTTCATCCCATTTTTTTGTCGTAGAAAAGTTTGTTTGATTTTATTTGATTTTATATTCAAGAGTTTTATTTTTTTAAACAGATGTATACATATAGTACTCGATCTCTACTTTCTAGTGATAAAAATAAATTTGAATTATATTGGATAGTATTAATACACGGCTGAAAAGAAAAAAGTGGTGCCAGACTTTTGACGTGCACTGTATGATAAAGTAATGTAGGTCTGTACTTTTCTTTTTGCTTCCATTTCGTTAATCTGTTTTTTAACAGCTGCTATGAAACGCACGTATTGACAATACCATTCATCTACTGTTGTTCTCTTTCTGTTTTTCTATCCAGAATGTTCGGAGTAGAACTAAAATCGCCTCAAAGGCTCTCCAGTTTGTATGAGAGAAGGTACTTTTCATATCGAAAGAAATATTTTCACATATTAGAACAATAGGCTAGTGATCACTAGTGCCGTAGTGCAAGGTTTCACATGAAATAGTTATCATATTTGAGAAAGATAAATCTATATTGCGCATCGAGCACTTTGATGAATGTGATGTCGACGGAATGTATTTGAGATTATTCTCTTCAATCCAATCTTTCAGTACTAGTCCTCTCTTATCTGACGCGGGACTGTTCCATTCTTTCACTGTTACATTAAAATCACCAGTGAGAATGGTACCTTCCACTATAAATGGAAGAATGTCGTCTAGATTACGTTTTTGACTATTTAGCCAATAAATTCCTATGATAAGTACTGGCTCCTAGAGTCCTGTAATATCTATAACTACTATATTTGGTATATCTGTCTCGATGTGTGATGCCTTTAGATGTTTTCCTACTGCTATACAAACACCACCACTGTGATTAGTATCCTTTTGATAGAATATGTTGAAATGTGGTAGTTTATTAGTGTTCCATAGCTCACCTACTTCAGTGAATACACATATGGATGCTTCTATTTTGTATACTAATTCAATAACTCCAAGAGCGCGTGTAGCCCACCCTTCAACATTATAGCATATCAACTTTAGAGGTACATTGATGCTGCTATGTGTAATTTTACTATTATTTTCTCATTGATTTAGTACTGAATTCAAGGATAAATTGGAATACCACTCATTTAAGACCTCAAACACTAATTTTTGATCATTCGTTGGAAAATTCCATTGTCTTAAGTGGTGCAACACTTGTTCTACTGGGTTATCGAAATGTGAGTTTTTAGAGAGAAGGAAATGCGCGTGCAGATTAAGCGTAGTATTAAAAATACTTCTGATTGTTTCACGTTTAATGCATTGGTACTGATTATTTCTTCAGCTGTTGATAATGATGTATTTTGCATAGACGGTGATTCTGCACGTTTACATCTTATTTCATAGTCCTTGCATAAATTAGTTTTTAATTCAGCCAATTTATCAAAGACAGATTGTAGACCTGACGTAGAATTCAGTAACGCCGGATTAACTTTTTTCGTCATCGGCCAGATAATTTTTTGAATGAGTAGACCAACCTTTTCTATCAATTTGACTCTTGCAGTTTGGTGTAGTTGTGTATCTAGAGTTGTCTGATTCAATTTGATATCAATCTTTTCGAGTTTTTCTTCTATTACTGGCACGCATAGCGACCAAATTTTCGTTAATAATAAGAAGTTATTTTGAGCCGAGTGAATCATCAGTACGTACTTCTGTTTGTGCGTGATTCCACGCTGCTTGTCGGGGTTTTTCGATTCTCCCAGAGGTGGAAAATCTTGATCTTTCATACTAAAAGTATGCTGTTGTTTTGTATAATCATTTCGATATCTTTTGCCAGATTCCAAGGCTTTGTTTGCATCTTCTTTTAGATCCAACCGATATTGTTGTATGACATGACACATACCATGAAGCGAGTGATGTTCACCACCAAATTATGCACATTTTTGTCTTTTAGTACATATGTGTTCTTCTTTTTTTGATATTTCATCAAGACAGACTCGACAGCATTGTGTACTAGCTTTACATTGTTTATGTACATGACCTATTTTCCAGCATTTAGTGCAAAACGTCATACGGTATCCCGATAGAAAGGGAGTGACTATAAGCCAACGATTACAAATCGAGATGCGACCAAGTTCAAGAGCTGTATTATATTCATATAAGTCCGTTACCGTGAATTTAGAATCGCTGGATTTCCGTTCGTATGAATAGTGTATTTGTTTTATATTATCGGCTGCCGCAATTGTATGTTTAATTTCTTCTTTTACTAGTTCAGGTTCCAGATCACGTGGCACGTACCGAAAACAACTAGAGCGAAACGGTCTGGAATATATTTCGGTTTAGTAATTCTAATTGGTATATTATTAACATTCGTTGGCCATTTGTTCATTGTTAATAACACCATGTAATCATCTTTGTTATTCACTCCCAACTTCAAACGATTGCTTGGCCATCATACTAATGAGAAGTGTTGAATGTTAACTTTTTCTTCTGTGGAATGCTTTTCAATAACTTTTTTAGCGTCGAATGCCGAAGGAAACCGTTGTAAAGCACTAGATTGCTCGAATTCGATGAAGAAACACGGTAAATTAGAAGATACGGCTCGTTTTAGTTGGTCGAAGGGAAGCGATTTTCGCTGTTGTTGATTAATTATTACCATGTCTAACTTTTGCCTGTGGATACTTTTGCTTGATTTATGTTGTTTCGGTGCTGAACTGATTGATCATACACAAATGCCAATTAACACTCATTAATACTCATCAACACTACACTAACTATCTTGAGGGTGTGGATATTGGTGTGGGTATGGATGTGGGTTTGAAAATGAAAGGTTCGAACAGTCACACCCATACCCACACACCCACACCCACACCCACACACCCACACCCACACACCCACACACCCACATCCACACCCACACACCCACACCCACACACCCACACCCACACCCACACACCCACACCCACACACCCACACCCACACACCCACACACCCACACCCACACACCCACACACCCACACCCACACATCCAAGGGGGTAAGTGCAGGCACCCAGCACCCAGCACCTGCTCAGCACCTACAGCACCTATCAGCACCTACAGCACCTACCAGCACCTATCAGCACCTATCAGCACCTACCAGCACCTACAGCACCTGTTCGGCACCTATACTGCATTTCACTATGAGCACCTACAGCACCTACGGCACCTGCAACCACTCTTCCATTATCTTAAGTACTTTTTCAGCACCTGGTAATAAAATTTCGTGTTTAGGCTCTGCCCTTTGAATTTTATTACCAGGTGCTGAAAAAGTACTTAAGATAATGGGAGAGTGGGTGCAGGTGCCGCAGGTGCTGTAGGTGCTCATAGTGAAATGCAGTATAGGTGCCGAACAGGTGCTGCAGGTGCTGGTAGGTGCTGTAGGTGCTGATAGGTGCTGGTAGGTGCTGTAGGTGCTAAGCAGGTGCTGGGTGCCTGCACTTTCCCCCTTGCACACACCCACACCCACACACCCACACCCACACAGCCACATGCACACGCACACCCACATCCACATCCACATCCACACTCACACCCACGCCCACACCCACACTCACACCGACTAGTATTTTTAATAGGAACCTGAAATAGAATGTATTAATACACTGTGTTCTTTCAAGCATCGTGCATTCTGACACTTTACTTTCCAAAACAAAGTGTACACGAAGCTAAAAAGCTACTCTCTAATCATTTAAGAAAAACTCTATTGAAAAAATAATTTTTCACGTTTATTAGCATGCGTACATCTTATATTTACAAAACGTAAAGGTTTCTTAAATTAGAAGAAACAAAAAAGATAAGTTTATTGAAGAGAAGATATTCGCTGACATTTTCATCAAACATGATCATTTATTCATGTCTACATACGTACAAATAGCTACTTAGCAACGTAACAAACAAATCACAATAGTTTTCTAGTGTATGTATTTTTTTCTAATACTTTTTTTAAAAATTATTTGGCTCTCATTTTATATTTACATTATGAGATGATCAAAAAGCAATATACTAAATTATGTTAACCCTTTACCCCCCATGGAGGTTCCAGAAGACCCACTGATAAAA